GTCGGGGGGTCCCGGCCCGGGGGCGAGGGATGAGGGGGAAAAGTGGGGTGAGGGCACAGTGGGGTGACGGGCACCCAGCCGTAGGGTGATGAGCACCCAGCCCCGGGGTGCTGCTGGCCCAGCTGTGGGGGCAAGTGTAGGATAGGGTGAGGGCGGTCCAGCCATTGTGAATTGCCCCAAATGAGAAAGGCTGACCCTGGCACCCTTACTTTAATAAGGGAAAATGATAAATAATGATCACCCACTGGAATTTTGGGGGGATAAGAGGAATGGGAATTTGCAGAGCAGTCACAGAAAATTGAGAGTTTTGGTGCAAGAGGGTGATTATTTCATCCCAATCTGATGGAGCTGGGCTGGTTATTAAAGCTGGCTGAGCCGATCAAGAGGGGACTGCTCACCCCTGCCGAATAATCAGCAGGAAGAAAATCATCTTTGTCTCCATATCAGTGCCTGGCGAGAGCTGCTGTTAATTTTAAAGAGCAGAACAATCAGATTAGGAGAGCCAGAGGCTGGTTTGAGAGGAGAGCCGGGCTTTGGAGCCGACTGCAGGATGCTGAGTCCAGCCCAAGGCAGGCACAGGCTCCATCCCCGCCCGGATGCGCCATGGCCGGGATGACCCGGCTGCAGCACGGGGAGCTCTTCCCTCTGCACGGGCTCATCCTGGAAAAACCTTCTTTGACATCAGCTTTGCTGCTTCCAGAGCCTGCAGAATAAATCACTGTTATTCCCAGAGCTCGGATTGCCCCGCCCCAGGTCCTGGCTCAAGGATACAAGGATGGGCTTGAAAGCTGCAGCCCACCCTGATGGTGGAGCTGGAGACCCCTCCTGTGGCATCCTGGTGTCCCTCCCATCCCGTAGAGATGATGGACAGGAGTCAGTTTGCTGTGATTTTTATTCTTTTCCATGTCACCGGGGCGGTTTTTAGAAATAACCAGAGATCCCCGAGACCTTGTCAGTTCCAAAGGAGGATGGAATATTTAATGGCCATAAGCTTTAGGAGGGAAAGTTTGGGGTGGATAGTGGGAAAAATCCTTCCCTGTGAGGGTGCTGAGGCCTTGGCACAGGGTGCCCAGAGAAGCTGTGGCTGTCCCTGGATCCCTGGCAGTGTCCAAGGCTGGGTTGGACAGGGCTTGGAGCAACCTGGCATAGTGGAAGTTGTCCCTGCCCACAGCACAGGGCGGAACTGGATGAGCTTTGAGATCCCTTTGAACCTCAAACCACTCTGGAATTCTGTGATTCTCAGCAGCACCACGGGATGCTGCCAGCTCGTGCTTCTGTGAGACTGATTCCTTTGGCCCAAGCTTGTGGAGAACCATTTTTTTCCCCTGTTTGGATTATGGAAACCTTTCCTTGCTGCCCAGAGTGCTCTGTCAGCCCTGCCCTCCCCTTGCTCTGACAAGGCAGCAGGTGAATTGTGTTAGATACTTTATTCTGCCCCATTTTGAAAGCAAACCCCTGCCAGGCTGGGGCTGTGTTACCACATGGGCTCTCCACTGGCTTCCAGGGGTGCAGAAGTGCTGCTTCATGCAGAGAAAAAGGTAAAATAATGACTTTAAAAGGTACAAAGGGGCAAGGGGCTGCTGTTCCCTTTGTGATTTACTCATTTATCCTGCCTGAAAGTCATTCCCTGTGCTTCATGGTCTGGACCCGATGCCACCAGGCACCACAGCTGCAGATCTGCCTGTGCCTCTGAGGATGGGCCCTTGCTGTGTCCCTGGATGTCACGGATGTCCCCTCTGGGTTAAATTGTCACAAACAGGCTGCCCTGGGCAAGGGTAGAGTGCCCAGCCCTGGGGGGATTTTAGAGCCATGTGGCACTTGGGGACACGGGTGGGCTCAGCTGTGCTGGCCTTGGATTCCATGATCCCAGAGGGTTTTTCCAGCCTCAACAATTCTCCCTCTGCGGGAGTTATTTCCACACACAGGAAGATTGGTGTTGCTGTAGAAGCAAATTCCACCCCTAGTGAGGCTGCTGCTTTAACAGCAAGAGTTGGTTTGGTGCAGAGGAGCTCAGCAGTCTGTTTTTCCCAAAATAAACCCAAATATTGGGAGGTAAAGCTCTTGCTGCTCGAATCATGTGTGCCATCACCAAGTGCAACAACACTGCTTGGACACATCTCACTCCTATTCACAGATTCAGTGACTTTGTAAAGAAGTTTTAAAGTTTTTTTTTATGGTGATTTAAGTACAGACTCACTCCAAGTCTATACTCTCAGTTATAATTTTATATAATTATATTGATGTAACTATATTTATTGTATATGGGAGAGGAAAAAAGTTAACTCTACATAAAGAATTCATTTAAGAAAATTATTACTCAACCTTTGCAATTATCAGTTGGATTTTCTTTTGCCCCACATGTTTCCATAGAGCAGGTCAGAGAATCTTGGAATGGTTATTATTTTTACAAGTGAAATGATAAGAGCTGTTCCCTGAGGTCCCTTCTCCAAAGGAAATGCCTGGTGATGTGGATGTGGAATAATTTCAGCACAGTTCTTTTGGGTATACTTCTTCCTCAAATATGTTTAGGAACAGATAAGATAATATAAAGCATCCTCACAGTGCTTGCTAACCATAAGAAGAATTTTATTGACTGGGAAATAGGCTGGGGACAGAGAAATTGCTGCTTTCTGTCTCTGCACAAACCATTTCTGGGAACAGCTCAGAGTTCTGCATCTCTGTCACAGCTTTGTCACATCAGGTGAGAGAGATCTGCACAAGGACACAGACTTAACATAATAGAGGACAGCTGAAGGATAAATTAAAAGGGACATTTAATGAGCAAACCAGCAAGACACGAGGCTTGTGCATCACTGGCACTCAGATGATTCACCCCATTCCTCAAGGTTCAAAAAACACGGGATTGTTTTAATGGAGAATTCTGAGCTGGGGAGGGAGCTGCACCAGGAAAGCTGATGGTGGGAACAACCTCTGAGCTGTGACACGGTGACCGAGAGAGCAGCGCCTCTACTTGCATACAGAGACAGGAAACTGCGAGGCTCCAGCAAAAATTTACTCCTAAAAAAGTATTTTCAAACAGGTACACAAATGAACACGGCATGAATCCGGTGAGGATTAACTCCTAGAACGACAATTTCCCCTAAGAAGCTCTGACAGACTGTGCTGCTTCCCTCTACCGACCCCCAGTGTTGGTGCGAGGCAGAACACAAGATCAGCAAAAAATCAGCACAATATCACAGATTCTTGGATTAGTAAAAGGAAATAACCCTCTGAAGAGTTAAGCAGGGTGAAAAAAACAATTAAATACTAAATATATTTCAAGTCAGAGAATTCTATGCGATTCTGTGATGAAAACAAGTTGTTTGTAGCCTCCCTGGCTACCCCTCTTGGTTTCCCAATACAGAATCTCATCTGATCTTTTTCTGGAGTCTGAACAGGTACAAAACGACCAACAAGAGGAAAAATACTCCCCCTACAGTCTGTAATAGAGATTTTGGGCAATAAAGTGGGATATTAGGGGGTACATTACAGAGAGGAATGTGAAATAGCTACAATGTCAATGACACCATCAATTTATTGACTGCAGTGAGATCTTCCTTCAGGGTCCCAAATTCACAGAGGTGGGAAATATCCATCTTCTTCCTGGCACAGCCTGGGGCCAAGTCAGACTGAAACAGTGAAGATCTGGAGAACAACCAAAATGGATTTGGCAGGAGAGGAAAAAATGCCCCGATGAGTAATGAAAAGGTAAAAGACAGTACCAAAGTGACTCAGTGGTTTCTCAGCTCTGTTCTAGACCGTGATGTTCTGCGATGCTTCTCCACAACTGCTTTTGTTGTTATTGTTGTTGTTTAACGTGTCTCCTGATGGATTCCAAACAATCCAGGCTGGAATGATGAGGTGGCTGCAGGCTGGAGAAGATCCACATGAGGTTTTGGTACAGGAGTTCCCTCTTGTCCCTAGCAGTGCCAGCCACTGCCTGCGGAGCTCCAGAGCTGGGATTTGGTGCCTTGGGGGTTCTTTCTTTTAAAAATTACTTCTTCAATGGCTGACCATTTGCTCTGTGCCCCCCTTCCTGCCATTTCTATGGCTGGGCACATCCTCCTGGAGGCTGGGACAAGGGGCAGGGCTGGGAGCTCTCACTGCTCGGCAGCCGGAGGTTCCTCCTCTGCCTCGGGCCTCTCGGGCTGCGGCTCGGGCGGGATGAGGCACTGCACCTCCTCGGAGCTGATGGCCACCTTGTCCGGCTGCAGCCAGCGCTTCAGGTGCTCCAGCGTGCTGGGGACAGCAGAGGGACACCGTGAGACCAGGCAGGGACAGAGCCGCACAGGAGGAGCGACAGGAAAAGCCTGCACAGGCAATTCCTGCCCCTCTGCAGGAATTCCCGTCCCCACAGGTGAGGTCTGGCGTGGAGGGATCCTGGTGCCACAGGGACAAGCAGAATCTGTCACTCTCCAAAGGGTGGTTAGAACAGGTTTTACACACCTGAAGCTCTCCTCTGCCTCTGTAGCCAAAGACTGCAACTCCATCAGACAGAGGGCAGGGTTAGATGGGATATTGGGAAGAATTCCTTCCCTGTGAGGGTGCTGAGGCCCTGGCACAGGGTGCCCAGAGAAGCTGTGGCTGCCCCATCCCTGGAAATGTTCAAAGCCAGGCAGGATGGGGTTTGGAGCAGCCTGGGATAGTGGAAGGTGTCCCTGCCCAGGGCAGGGGGGTGGCACTGGATGGGCCTTAAGGTCCCTTCCAGCCCAAACCAATCTGTGATTCCAGGAGTTTCCAGCTTTCTGGGCTGGAAGTAAAAAACCTCTTGCTCAAACATACCAAACCCCCAGCTGCCTCTTGGAATGAAGATCAGGAAAAATGGGGGGGAAAGGGAAGGGAACAAAACCAAAGCTGGGAGAATATCTCAAAATGTGTGAGCATTAATAGCACTGGAAGGTTAAAAAACTAATATAATCCTAACCCTCTAATATCATAATTCAGTGCACTTAAAAGTTAAGGCTTGTTTAATTGCATCAGTGGGTGAGACTCAAAACTCCAGCACCATTCAGGAGTGACCTCCAACTTCATAGTCCAGTTCTAGGGACTGAAATTCTTTCATGGATAACACCCCCACCCTTTAAAAACAGTAGAAAGAGCCCATAAAAAGCTTGGTTTTAAATATAAATCACATTGAAGTTTCTTTGGGGACCAAAGAAACCATCTGAAACCTCCTTATAAACAGGGATTACTTTTCATAGTTCTGGCTTAAGTAGATTTTCTTGACAGGAGACAAATAATCTTCTTGTCATCCAAAAGCAATCATGAAAAATGTCAGCTGAGAAATGAGGAATTTGGAGAGTGTTCCATGTGATTGGGAATGGGAGATTGCTTAGGGAAAGGGCTCCCATCTTACTTCTGACATCATCTGTGAGAGGGCAGGAGCACTGTAAGACAGGCAGGGAAGGGAAATCTCATCCCAGGACTGGCACCAACCCCAAATCCCCATCTGAGACACATGGACATCCCCTCCTCTGCTCCATCCCTTCCCTACCCCACGTGTGAGGAGGGAAATCACTGAGTAGGTCCCAGCTGCTTCCGTGCACTCTAAGGGGTGCAAAGATCAGAAAGGAGCACTGGAAGCTCAAACCCTACGTGCTCTGTGTTCCCTCTGGCACAACCCCAGTGGGCATTTCTGTGTCATGTCCTGACAAAACCTTCTTCCAGTTTTTGAGGGGTAAGTGGTGATCCCTTCCCTCTGATTTGCTCGTTACCTCTCGTCAGCATCGTGGCCCTCAACGTAACATTCTGCCTCAAACCTCTCCTGCAGGAACCTGTCCCAGTATTCCTTCTTGGCCTGGGACAGCGTGCGCAGCATGTCCTTGGAGGTCACCTCCTGGGACAGGCCTTTGATCCTCATCAGTCTTCTCTCTGTGAGGGGAACAGGGGATTTCATTACCTTGGTTATGGGGTTTTTCCTGGAAGGAGAGAAGAGAAGGATCTGGACTTCTATATCAAAAAGTAAGTTAAATTAACTTTTCAAGACTAATTTCTATTTTAAATGCAATTTCCCCTCTGTATTTCAAGCCTCCCTGGCTTTCCTTCCTATATATGCACAAGATGGTGTTTTTCAGATGATGCTTCTGAAGGAAATAAGGTTTGTGCAATCAGCCAGCTCTGCCTGTTTGGGGTTTTAATAACTTTCACACTTACTGCTCAGCTTCCATGAAATCACACAGGACAGCACAGATCTCACAGGCACCAAGCTCCCACAATTTCCATGCAAATTGGAAAATAAATCACTCTCATTGCACTACTTGGTGCGCTGTGAAACAGCAACAAAGGCACGATGAAAGTTCTGGCAGAAATAAAAGCTTAAAAAGCCACTTCTGCCACCTGTTCTGTCGCTGTGTGCAGCCTCCTACTTATTGTGGAGGGTAAAAAACAACTTTTTTCAGCTTTTGCTTTATAAAAAGTTCCTTTCTGTGCCAGAGATGAGAAAGCTCTGACTGAGCTTCACCTTTCCACTGCTGCACTGGAAGAAAATGAGTCACATTCTGTGTGTTTAAGCTGGAATTTGGACCACAGCACCGGCACCACAAAAACAGAGCTGTCACCAGGCAGACACTCACCCAGGGATGCTAAATACACCTCTGAGTCCTTCAGGGGTGCCCAGGGCTTCAGGACAGGTTGGGAAGAGCCCCCCGATCCGCTGCCCTCGGCGTAGGAATCCATGAAGGAGTCCGTGAAGGCATCGCCGTCGTCCTTGTGCTCGGGATGCGGCAGACAGGAGCAGATCTCAGCCCAGAGGTCCTCGCTGGACCGGGTCACCACGGAGTCCACGCTCTCGATCATCCTCATCCTGGGATCCTGCCACGGGGGAAATAAACGGTGAGCGCCGCGCCGAGCCGCCCGCCCAGGCCTCCGCCACCCGCCTCCCTCTGCCCAAGTCACGCCAGCGGACATTCCAGGGAATTCCCATCCCACCAGGACTCCCGGCCGCCCTGCAGGGAGCGACGTCCCCGCGGCTGCCCGTGAGGCGGAGGGGCCACCCCGCTCCCGCACCCACCGCCCGCGCTCCTGGCACCGCGGCAGCTCCGCCCGCGCCTCGCGGGCCCCGGGCCCGGCCAATCACCGCCGCCACCCGTCTCGGCTCTGACCAATCACCGCGCGCTACAGGCGGGGCGGGGGCGCCCATTGGTCCGCAGAGTGGGAGCCGCTGACGCCACCGCGCCGCCATGTTGGCAGAGGGCGGAAGCTGTGGCGGGCGGCGCAGGCGAGGGCGGTGTGACATCCCTGAGGCGCTGCCGCCCCTGCCGCGGTTCGGCGAGGCCGGGATGTGCTCCAGCGCCACACCGGGAGCTCCAGCGGAGCTCTGAGCCACCCCTTCTCTCCGCCGACCGCTGCCGTGTCCGTGGGATGAGCCAGCTGCCGTGCGGCGCCGTGCTGGCACTCATGGGGCTGCTCTTCGCCAGGACCATGGCCTGGACATCCAGCGGGAAAACGCACGCGGAGCTGGTGAACAACCTGTACAGTGAGTGCCGGCAGCATCCTTGGAATTGGCAGCGCACGGATATTTAATGGCTGTGTGTAGATATTTAGTGTCACGCCGTGTGGCGCTGCTCACTCGGAAGGGTTGGGGTTCGTGTTCCTCAATTTCGGCATTTGCCCCGGCCTGAACTCGTTCTATTTATAGCTGGAAACAAGGTGCTGTGCCAGGAGGGGCAGGAGCGCCTCTCCACACCTTCCATCCCTGCCTCTGGAAGTGTGTGCTGCAGCTCAGTGTTCGAGCCCGGCGGTGCCGCCGAGCGTCCCGCACATCCAGGCTGTGCCCGAGGGCAGGAATGGTGCCCGGTGCCAGGACAGCGGGCTGGAACACACATAAAAATAGCTGGAAACTTCTCCAGAATTCCCGCAGAAAGGTGTGAAGGGATGTCGGATATCTCTGCGGCCGTGGTCCTTGAGTTCACTGCTGTAACCTGAACCGGAGTCTCCGTTTCCCGCCGTGAAACGTGACTCCGGTTCGCTCCCTTTACACCTGGCAGTGCCAGAGGCCTTGTGGCTGCAGGTGGCCACCTCTGGAGATGGGCTGGTGGCTGGGCCCCAGCAGGATTGGGAAAGGATGTCCTTCCATCAGTGTTTGGTTTGCTGTCTCTCTCAGATCCCTCATTAATACCCCCAGATCCATGAACTCCCTGAAGTGTGAACTTCCCCTTTCAAATCTCTTCTTGCTGGAATGCCCAAAATTTCAATCCTGCCCATCTCTCTTTTCCTTCTTTCCCAGAAAAAGGGATCGTTAAGTCTCAGCGAGTCTTCGATGTGCTGTTGGCTACAGACAGAGGTCACTACATCAAATATTTCCCATACATGGATTCTCCTCAATCCATTGGTGAGTCACTTCTGGCAAAGCATCTGCTGTCAGCAGGGCACAGGGTGCCTGGGCAGGTGCTCCATGGTCATGTTGTGGAATCCCTGTCCCTGGAAGTGTTCAAGGCCAGGTTGGATGGGCCTTGGAGTGCCTTGTCTAAGGGAAGGTGTCCCCACCCATGGCAGGGACTGGGACTGGATGAGCTTTAAGGTCCCTTCCAACCCAAATCATCCTGTGATTCTGTGAAAGGAGACAAGTGTTTTCCCATTTTTGGGGGGAAGGTGTGGGAGAATTAGGAACTGTTCCCATTGGGAATTTTATTCCTTGTCAAATGACTTGTGTCACCCGTTTCCTTTTAGGCTACAAGGCTACGATCAGTGCCCCGCACATGGTAAGGTGAAAACTCCTCACTTTCAACAGCAATGGAGGGAATTGTTTATTTCTCTTTTTATATTTAATTTTTCTTCAAGTAGAAAACTGAAACATCCCATGGACATGATTATCCTGCTTGTTTCTTTGGGGATTTTTCTTCTTTAGAGGAGTTCCCCTATACTCTTTCAGTTGCTTTAAAAGTGTGCTTAGATGGGAATTCCATGCTGTCCCTTTTTTTGCATGAGACCTTTTCTCCTGCTGTTTCACATCTAATTCCTGAGCCTCTGCCTAAATTATGTCCTGCAAAAGATCTTCCAGGTCTGACACTTGAGTTTTGCTCTGGAAGTGTCAGGCACAAGGCCAGGTGTGCTGTGATTAAATCAGAAAACAAGAAAAGGTGTTGGAAGAGGAGTCTAACCCCAGGATGTTTCCCTCTTCCTTGTCCTGGGTGTCCCTGCAGCACGCCCACGCGCTGGAGCTGCTCAAGGATCAGCTGGTGGAAGGTGCCAAGGCACTGGATGTGGGATCTGGGAGCGGATACCTCACGGCCTGCTTCGCCAGGATGGTGAGCTCACGGCACTCTGTTCCCAGCCTGGAAAGCACATCCCTTAATTAGCTGCTGTAACTGGCACTACTCAGCCCTAAAACCAAGGAAGGGGCACAGGGCTTGCACCTCCTCTTCAGAACCTCTGCTCTGGAGTTTCTTCCTGAAGATTCCCCAGTTCCCACTGAAACCTGCCCTGGCTCTTTTCCATACAGGAGGCATCAGGTATTTGATGTTTTTTGCAGACTGGCCCGACGGGAAAAGCTGTGGGCGTGGAGCACATCAAGGAGCTGGTGCACGAATCCATCCGGAATGTCCAAGAGGATGATCCCACACTGCTCAGCTCCGGCCGCGTGAAGCTCGTGGGTGAGCTCCCTGCAGCCCCAGGGTTTTCCCCTTGGTCTGCTCCTCACAGCCCTTCCAGTTTGTGTTGATGTTTTGTTATGACACAACCCAAGTGTTCCCTGTTTTCCCTCTGTAGTTGGAGATGGCAGGCAGGGATACCCCGAGGAGGCTCCTTATGATGCCATCCACGTGGGAGCGGCCGCGGCCACCGTCCCCAAGGAGGTAAGAGAGGCCGTGCTGGGTGTCCCTAGAGAAAACATGTGGGGTTTTTTGTCCCTGCTGACTGGGATGTGTCGGTGCTGCAGCTGCTGAAGGAGCTGAAGCCGGGCGGGCGGCTGATCGTGCCCGTGGGGCCCGAGGGGGCGAACCAGGTGCTGATGCAGTACGACAAGACCAGCGAGGGGCACATCGTGGAGACCCAGCTCATGGGCGTCATCTACGTCCCTCTCACAGACAAGGAGAAGCAGTGGCCTCGGTAAAACCTGCTCTTCCCTGAGGAACACTCCTTCCTCTCTCTCTGAGCTTGCTCTCCTTGGCTTTGCTGACCGACTCCTGGATCCCTGGCGGATGCTGTTTGTGGAAAAAAGGAGAGAACAGCTTGGCAAAGCAGGGGGTATTTTCTGTCTGATAGAGCTTGCAGAGTTTTATTTCCTCTTTTTCTGGAGCCTGTGTGTGTGTTTAAATTCCATGTGATGCTGGCACAGAACTGAGGGAGTAGTAACTGTTGGTTTTCCTTTGCCTCAGGGATGACCTCTGACACATGGATGGATATCTCTAAAGGCACCTCAAAAAGCTCATGAGAGGGACTTAGGCCTGTAGATGGTCAGTATGGTTTTGCTTTTTAATGGAAATTTCATCAATGGATAAAGGGAAGTTCTGCTTCAGAGGAGCTCATTCTGGAGGGATGGAGAACAGGGACAGGACCAGGGGAGGCTCTTGGAGGCCCATGGCAGCTTCCAGGGAGCGGATCCAGACAACTCCAGCTTTCCTCTCTGATAAACTCTAGATAACATCAGATCACAGAGAATTCTGACAGCAGACAGGAGTACCTAAAGCTTCACTAAAACCACTTTAATATCGACTACTCTGCCTAATGCTTGGTGAAAATAAGTCACAATTAGTGTCTCGGAGCAGCAATGTACCCTGACTTGTCAGTTTTTAAAATATGGGAGTGTGTTATCTTCCTGCCTGCACCTGCTAATTTAATGATGGGCGGCAACACTGGATTTTGAGCGTATGAAAAATGCTTGGGTTTTTTCTGTTTGGAGTTTTGAAAAATATTCATTTCTGGACCTAACCCTCTTTGGGGTTACGAAAAATGCGCATTTCTTGGCTTTTCTGATTGGGTTTATAAAAAATGCTCATGTTTTGGCTTTTCCCTGACGCGTCCCTCCCGCAGGCGGTGACTGAGGAGGCTCACGAGGGGCAGGCGGGCTGCGGTGAGGCTCGAGGGTCATTTGTGGAGCAGTTCTGAGGGGGGAAACTGCTGGGAGGTAAAAATATAAATAAATCAATTAATAAATAAAAGGGCTCTCGCTCCTCCATCGCCTCCGCCTCACGACGCCCTGTGGGATGGGGGGAGAGGCGGGAACGGGACGGGGGCGTGGCCTGGCGGTGCCGGCCCGCGCTGATTGGCCCGCGCCGCCCGGCGCAGCGCGATGCGTCACGGCGTGCGGCGCGCGGTGTGGCCGGCGTGGGTGCGCGCGGCGGGGATCGGGGTCCATCCGCTGCCGCCGCTGCGCGGGGACATGGCCGAGCCGGGACCCGGCACCGGCCGAGCCCGGGAGGAGGAGCCGGACCCCGCCGGCAAGGAGGAGGCGGCGCCGGCCCCCAAGAAGCGGCGGCTGGCGGGCGGCGAGCGGTACGTGCCGCCGCCGCGGAAGCTGAACCCCGGCGTGAGCTTCGGCGCCGAGCACTTCGCCGAGACCTCGTACTACTTCGAGGGCGGCCTGCGCAAGGTGCGCCCCTACTACTTCGACTTCCGCACCTACTGCAAGGGGCGCTGGGTGGGCCGCAGCCTCCTGCACGTCTTCGGCACCGAGTTCCGAGCACAGCCCCTCTCCTATTACCGCGCCGCCGCCCGCGCCGGCCGCCTGCGCCTCAACGAGGAGCCCGTGCGCGACCTGGACATCGTGCTCAAGGTGGGCGGGCCCCGGGGGGATGGTGGGCTGGGGGCAGAGCCCGGCCTGCCCCAAGCAGCGAGCATCGCCCCGTGAGCGGTGCGGTCAGATAATACAGGGCCAGGAGTTGGACTCGATAATCCTGATGGGTTCCTTTCAATTCGACGTGTTTTATGATTCTGTGAATCCTGTGGAGGGGTTTAGGGGCGAAATCGGGGCTCCCGGGGAATCCCTGCCCTACTGGATTCGGGAATATGTAGGTCTTACAGCCCTACACGTGCCACACGGCTTCCTTGGTCCTTAGGAATGGGAATGCGCTATGGGCAGGTGATCGGGTTTACATTGTGACACACACACCTGTTATCCTAAATCCGGGATCCTGGGAGAAAGGGGCTTTAATTCTTCTTCCACGATGTCAAGTCCCTGTTGTGTGTGGCCGGGTGAGTGGTCACAGGAGCCGGATTCAGGCTGACTGCCCGTACCCCTTCCAGAACAACGACTTCCTCAGGAACACGGTGCACCGGCACGAGCCGCCGGTCACCGCCCAGCCCATCCGCATCCTGGCGGAGGACGAGGACGTGGTGGTGGTGGACAAGCCCTCGTCGCTGCCCGTGCACCCCTGCGGCCGGTTCCGGCACAACACCGTCATCTTCATCCTGGGCAAGGAGCACGGCCTGCGGGAGCTGCACACCCTGCACCGCCTGGACCGCATGACCTCCGGCGTGCTCATGTTCGCCAAGACCGCCGCCGTGTCCAAGCGCATCGACGAGCAGGTCCGGCAGAGGCAGGTGAGGGCTGCGAGCTGCTGCTGTGCTCCGCAGTCAGCCGGGTTTGGGCTCTAGGTGAGCTCAAGTTCCCCAGACAACTCATGGTTGTGTTGGTGTTCTCATCTGTTGGTGCTTCTCATTCCTAATAGGCTAAAGATGTAGTAAAAATTGAGTTTGGTAATACTGGATTGGAAGGGAGCTCCTAAAAAATGTAACTGAATTTGATAATCCTAGCTTGGTAATATTAGAATGAAAACCCTAAAATTTTAACTGCTTTTGATATTGGATTGAAAGATATCGCCTAAAAATTTAGTTCAATGTGGTAATTTAATTTCATTTAGTAATATTGGACTAAAAGGGATCTCCTACAAATTTGTTTTGATTTGGTAATATTTAATTGTAAAGGGTCTCCTAATAGTTTAATTGATTTTACTAATATTAGGTTGGAAGTTATCTCCTAAAAATTTAAATTATTTCAGTAATATTGAGTTGAAGTGGATCATCTTTCTTAAGGGATTATGCAAACTTACTGGGGTCATGCAGACCAGTTAGAGATGAAATTTATTTGTGAGTGGACATATGTCAATTATCCATCATTTTTGTACTTTTAAAATTCCCATTTTTTCAGAGTCTCTTGATCCAAACAGAACTTTTTCCAGGATTGGCTTCAGGGCTGTAAGCCAAAGGCTGTGGAGAGATGGCTCCTGAATTTAAAACAAAGCAAGTAGGCTAGGCTTTCTTGTTCTTGGTTTCCCAACAAGCTGAGGAAAATGTGAGGGGAAATTTGGCTTTAAGTAGCTGATTGCATATTTGTCCCTTTCCCGTTGTAATAAAATGCCACCTTTGGATGTATTTTATTGAGGAGAGAGGGAGGAGGAGCAGCAAGGCTGGAGCTTGGGTGTGTTTCCCCCTGTGTTTCCTGAACCTCCCTCTCATGTCTCTGGCAGCTGGAGAAGGAGTACGTGTGCCGTGTGGTGGGGGAGTTCCCGGAGCACGAGGTGCTCTGTGAGGAGCCCATCCTGGTGGTCTCCTACAAGGTGGGCGTGTGCCGCGTGGACGCCAAGGGGAAGCCGTGCCAGACGCTCTTCCAGCGGCTCAGCTACAACGGGAGCAGCAGCGTGGTGAGGTGCCTGCCCCGCACGGGCCGCACGCACCAGATCCGCGTGCACCTGCAGTTCCTGGGACACCCCATCCTCAACGACCCCATCTACAACATGGAGGCCTGGGGACCGGACAGGGGCAAGGGCGGCAGGATTGGCAAGACGGACGAGGAGCTGCTGAAGGCGCTGGTGGAGGAGCATCGCTCCAAACAGAGCCTGGAGGTCTTGGGTATCGGGGAGGAGGACTTGAACTCTGCTGGGGAAAGTAAAGACTGTGGGAATTCAGGTGACTGCACAAAGTCTGATCCTGTGAATGGGAGTTCCTGCCCTGCTGAGGACGAGAAGGATCCGGAGAGGAATGACGTAGCAGCTTGTCCACTGAACTCTGATAGCAACCTGGAAACGCTTGATAAAGACAAAGAGCTCAGTTTGTGTGGGAATCAGGATGGGCAGGCGGGGGAGAAGGGCTGGGAAGAGAAGGACCCTTTGTGTGTGGAGTGCAGGACGAGCAGGCGGGACCCCTCTCCCAAGGAGCTGGTGATGTTCCTGCATGCCCTGCGCTACAAGGGCGCCGACTTTGAGTACTGCTCCAGCATGCCCGAGTGGGCCATGGAGGACTGGCAGGAGTGACCAGGACACCCAGCACCTGCAGGCCCTGCTGGCTGGCACAGCGGCGTGCAGAGACCAAAGACTGACTTTGCATTGTGGCTGAGGTGAACAAAGTGTGTCTTGAGCTGGGCTGGGAGGGATCAGTGGGGCTGGGGAATTATCCTGCTTCTCACAGGTGCTGTGAAGGATGAGCAGGGAAGCAAGGCTAAAACAGGAGTTTTATGTTGCCCTTCAGTGAACTGGCACTTGAGGACAGCAAGGACTGAACTCTGCTCAGCACAGGCAGCTTTGCCTTCACCTCAATGGATTCTGGATCAATTATCCACGTGGATAATGAAGTGTATGCACTGAAAATCAAAAGCTGATTTTTCTTTGAGCCTGCTGTGTTCCTGTGTCTTACAGTAAGAGCTGCTGGATGTCATGTCATAAAAAACCCTCTTTTTATTGTATTTTGTTGTCAGATTGATTTCAAAATGACAAGATTACTCCTGAGAACACTGAGATAAAACCAGGACACTGTGATCTGTTTTGTGCCTGCTGTTTGTCAGCAAGATCCACTTGCCTTTGAAATCACCAACATTCATTCAAATAATTACTTAAATTAGTAGTTCTGGGTGCAGGTATTGGGCCTGGTTTTGGAGGTACTGTTCCCCAGATTTTGTCTTGAGGAGATTTTTTAATATCACTTCAGTTTGACAGTCAGATTTCAAGAAAAACAAAAGCAGTTTTATGAAGCAGAACACTTCTTTCAAAATAATTTTAGAAGACTTCTTTTAAAATAATTTTATATGAATGATTAATATCACCATAGTTCTTATTTTCATTAGTGTTTACACAGTTGATTCTTGGCTTCTGGGAGAGTTTTTATATTAATTTTGGAAGTCTCAGGTTGGCCAGCACACAGGAATTAGTACCTTCCTCCTAAAATCACTTGATGTTGTCACCAGGGTCTGGCCATCACTACCAAATCACAATAAACCATTGCTTGCCTCCAGTAGCCCACAGGAGCCAGGTGGTGTCTTTCTCTGCAGGATCATCCAGCTGATGTTGAATATTTCCATAAAAATTCATTCAGGTTTGAGCTTTATTCTTCCACATCCTGGCAGTGGTTTTGTGATTCTAGTTTAATTCCAGCTGTTTAGAGAGGTGATGCTAAAAATCAGCGTTATCCAAATTTTTGATGCATTGGAATACACCTTTCATGGAAATAAATGGAACTTGGGCACCTTCAGTGTATAAAAAAGGGTGGCTGGAGCTGTAACTGGATTTGAGTGCAGGGGAATGGGGTAGACTTAGGGATGACAGTTAAATTAGACTTTGATGTGTCCAAAGTTATGCTGGGAGGTTTTCTGGTAAGAAATTTCAGTAACAAAAAAAGGCTCTGTCAGGGATTTTCCGGACTGACATTGGGGCCAAAGGACCTGATGAGGAACTGGAGCTCAGCTGCTCACTGCTTTTTCCCCTTTTCCTGGAATAATGGCTGCAACTGGCAACTTTAATTTCCTGGTCAAGAAACCCCTGGGCTTCTGTTTCCAGGGTTCTTTGAACTATGACGATTTAGGATTTAGTTCACAAGGATACTACATTTTATTTTATTTTATTTTTTCATTTAATTTCACTTCATTTTTATTTTCTTTCTTTAAAATTATTTTAAATTTTATTTTTATTTTTAATTTTATTTATTTATTTTTATTTATTTATTTAACTTTATTTTATTTATTTTAGTTTGTCAAAACTGTGCTTGATGTATTGTTAGCTGGAAAAATGTTGTTTCTTGGAGATTCCCTGTGATAAATTCCCATCTGAGATTAGGTCTGAGGTAAGTACTGGGTCCTGGTTGTTGACATAAAGTTTTCCATACAAAATGTAGATCCTGGAAGAATTCTTTTCCTTAGTACACCTTTACTTGGACGTGCCT